ATGATTTTTTAGAAAACAATTTTTTCTTTTCTTTTTTTACTTTTTGATAATGGAAACAAATTTTATAACCAATTGTGGAAAAAAATATCAATTTAATGGACAATTTTCATGTAAAATAAAGTCAAACGAATAAATAATTTAAAAATTTTCCGGTGGAAAATTATACCAATCAAACACACTTGAAATTTTTTTCCCTGCAAAACATTTTTTAGGCAAATCTCTTCTCTATAAAACATTTTCTTTCCACCTATTTTCTACTCTTACAATCANAAAATTATACCAATCAAACACAATTGAAATCATTTCCCCTGCAAAACATTTTTTAGGCAAATCTTTTCCTTGTAAAACATTTTCTTTCCGTCAATTTTCCACCATTGCAATCAAACGCACCCTAATTTCAACCTCAAGCCCCCCGTTCGGTCCCATTAAAATCAGATTTCTCATTTTTTTTTTAGTGGTACGTTAAATATTATAAAATTACAAAGTGCAAAGAATATTTGTCAAGAAAAATGATTGCACTACAGATTTTTTTACCAGAATTTTATCAGGAATTTGAATTCTCACTCTCATAGAATGAACCCCATGTATAAAATAATGAAAACAAATAAATTTCCCCCCAATTGTTGTGTCTATTCTGTAAGTACTTATAGCAAAGCTCATTTGTCCATCAATTCTTACATAAACGTTGAAATCCAAAAACCATCCTCATTTTTTAAAATCAATTTCCAAAAATAACCCTCTCATTCCTTAACTCTGAAATAACCTCCCACCATTTTTCTTTTTTTTTTTATTTGATAAATTTGAAAGGGAAATTGTTCATCTTCATATCAAACCTGCAACGTCTCCCTAAAAGTCAACATTGATTGTTTTTTCGCAGAATAACTGACAATGGCCCCACATTTGCAGAAAATGAGATTGGCCAAAATTTCATTTTAATGGCTCTCAAATAGACGCTCAGTTCTGTAGAAATTAAAATTTTAATTTAAGTCAAAATTTATGGGATTCAAAACTTTCTACCACGTATTTTTCCCTTGTTTGGACTCTATTAAAATGTAATCTCAAATATATTTTAGAATAGTGATTTTTTGAAAAAATGTATAATTGAAAATGAATTTTTTAAATAATGAAGCAAAACATAAGTTTTATGAACTTTTATCAAAATTTACTACAAATCCTATTTTAATCCCTAGCAAATAGTGATTCGGTGTTGTAAACAAAATTATTGACTTGCTAAACTTATTGGCAAGCTTGCAAATTGCAATGGTGTTTGAAATTTAGATTGCCAATATTTAGCCCATGTTTTGTATAAATTAAAATTTTTCAAAATCAACAATTAATTTTAACCATACATTCCATGAGACCCACAATTTTTGAATCACACATTTTATCAAAATTTACTAAAAATCTGATTTTAATTCCTGTTAAACTGTGACTTAGACGCGTAAATTTGAATGTTGGTTACGTTAGTCACTGAAATGGATTTGTCCATATAAACGAACAAAACATCTTATTAGCACGTTTGGCTAAGTTTAAAATCCAATTGAAATTGAAAATATAGTTATTATTGGGTCTCACTCGTCTAATAAAAGTTAACAATAACGACTAATTTTTCAATTTTAATCATATTTTAATCTCTACCGAATACGCTCTTAAGCAATGAATTGTCGAGTTGGCATGAATTTCAAACTTTTAGCGTATCGAAAACTCTACGACCAAGTAAAATTGCTAAAATCGACTAAAATGTTGATGCATTTTGCTTTAATAAGAAAAAGAGTTTAGCCCCTTGTATAGGGGAGATTACTAAGGAAACTTGTGGCGTATGTACATTGGTGAGGATAAAATCGTAAAATTATTTTTTGTTCGAGGTCCAATGAATGTTTATCACCTCCTTGCACATGTACCAGGGTTCTAAGAAAAATCAAAGACAAATCTCTACACTGCATTTCCCATCGGGGTCGTGCCACTTTGATAGAAAAAAAATTGACAGATAGATGATTTGACACAATAAGTGTTGGCAATATATGATTGGATGTAAAAGTTGATTATGGTTTAAATAATCCAATAATAAGATGTCACGTGACATTTTATCAAGAATTATATCAGTCATTATGTTATTGTAGCGTGATTCTTCACATCCGTATCAAGTCTCCACTTGCTGACCCATTAAATAAAGGCCCTAGAAATTTCAGCCCCTGTAACAGCCCATTCGAGCCCAAACTTCATTAACTGCTCTATACAACTTAGGCATGATTGGGGCCCATTGCAGACCCATTAGCTTGTTTCCAATTTTGACTATAAAAAGAGGAAATTACACTAAACCATGTCTTTTC